TGCAGATTTTAACCTGAATTTGTTACATCTTTCACACACATCAGCTTAACACTAGTAGATGTTTAGCAGGAAATTTCCATTACAGAATTGTCTTTGTTCCTCCATCATGTAAACAGATGATCCACCAGCAGCCCCATTTCTTTGCGGCGAACAGCTTACTTCCCCGGATGACATCACAAGGGGGAGGGTTTTCAAATAGAGCATTTTGAGCAAACATTAGCAAGAGTTGGATAAAGACAGTGATTTATTTTTTTTCTCCACTTGTGAACCTCATACACAGGCTGAAGGACACACATGTGTTACAAAATCTTTATAATGTTAATTTTGAATAATATTGTACATTTAATGAAACCAAGTTTCCATACATTTTCAGACATCCTTAGGGCTCAGCAAACAAAGCATGAAATTTTCTCAGGCGACTGAGTTTTTTTTGTATTAAATTAAAATTTTACAATCTAAGCAGATATGTGAGTTTAACTAAGCTACGTTGTCGCCTAAAAAGACATCTTAAAAGTTTAGATAATTTTAAATTACAGTTTTTGCCACAGTCTTCTGCAATCAGTGTTCAATTCATAAATCTTAAGAAATGGTGGGCCATGACGTATACATCCTACATCCTTCAAATCTGGGGGGAAAAAGGACAAATTCACTGAGCTCAGATGAAAAAGGCTTAGAAGAAATTGGGAAAGGGAAAACAAAAAAAGTTGGAAACTGGGGACAACTTTAGATACATAATGGTTATGTATTCAATCTACAAAACCAAACTAAACATTTAAGGTGTATTAGGAAAGAACGCAGTTTTGTTAGACTCAAAAAAACTTCTTGGTTGGTCAAGAATTCACTTGTTTTGAAAAAAAAAAAAAAAAGTTGTACGCTCTTTACCTTCAAACTAAAATTTAAGACCTGGTAATTTTTTTCCTGGTACCTGAGAAATTCTAAAATATGAACTATGCTGCTGTCTAATGACTGTTTGAAACATACCAAGGACATTACCAGTAATAGTTGCCCCCCACCTAGTGGATGGAGTGTGAGTGACAGGTATGGAAAAAAAAGAGTAAACCCCAAATTTTCTGCAGTCATTGAGGTGAGTGCGAGTCATAGACAATGACTGATAAACTGAAAAAAATCCAGTTTAAGGGAACCATCATTGTGTTACTGTGCAAAATTTTTGTCTAAATCCTAAATATACTAAGATATTTGGCACCATGTTATGCTGCCCTCTATGGGTTGAAAGGTTGCAACTGCAGCTGAATTTCTCTATTGTTTCTGACTGTACAGCTTGCTACATGTTTACATCACAGCCCACTTGTTCAGGTATGATGGTGATGATTTACATTTACACTTATGATTTACATCATAAGTTTGAACTCCAAGATGATTGGGGAGTCTTGTACTCTCTAATGCTGCTCCATTACAGCCAGTTGCAGCACTAACACTAACAAATTACTGGACTAGGTGGTATTCTGAATTCTAAAGTACCAATGGTTTGCAGCATAAAACAATCTCACTCAGATCCCCCTCCCCTCAATGAGTCAGGAGTTAGAACTGCGAGCATTGATATAAGAACTGAGATTATTTAGTCATCCTAAATTCACCTTCCCTCATTCTAATCATACCTCCACACGCGACCCCGTCTGCCGTGCCCCCAGCATTGTCCAGTTGGATGGCATTTTTCAACATTTCTTCAGGGGTAATGGAGCTAATGATCCATAATAGATTGTAGAGAAAAAGTTATGAAAAAAAATTGAAATAAAAAACATGTTGGCAACGTTAGCATCAACATTAAATGAGCTACATTGCACAAATCCCTAAAGTCTAATATCAATACTCTGAATACTTGTACCAATATATACTTATATATACTAAATGTACTACATTCAAATTAACAAACTTAATTTACCATCTGCTTCTGAAAAAACAAACAAAAAACAAATGTATAATTGTGAATAAATTGAAGCAGGAAATGAAGAGCCTATGCTAACTTTGTAGAGCTAGTCTGTCTTCTAGTTAAGAGGGCAGCACAGTTCCAGACGTGCAAAACTGGTAAATAAAAAAATCATAAAAGACACATTTAAATGGAGAGCAGTCCATTAAGTCTTCTTTCAGCCATAGCTATAGCAAAAGATGCTTTTTTTTTAACACATCCAATTAATGCACATCATTGTGCTGTTCTATTAATACTACGGCAATAAAAACATGTTGTGGTTTAAGATAAAACCATGAGAAAATGTTTTTTTTTAAAGGCACTGTTCTTTCTATAAAAGATCAAAACTTAAAATTCAGTCACACTCTAGTGCATGTCAGTAAGCACATTACGTGACCTAGTGCCCCTGTTCCTGGTTAAATTACCCTACCAGACACTACCTTAAAAAAAAGTGAAATGTGTAAGAAATGAAAAGCTACTAGCGTCACACATTTTAAAACTCAAACTGATATGAATAATTTATTAATTCACATTTTACAGTTTACAATGAATTATCTCTCAAATCATTAAAAATAATCAAGATAAAAATCCTTCAGCCACCTTTTTAAACAACACAGTTTTAGCCTCTTTGCTCTTGGAAAAAAAGAACAGTTTGTTCTCAAACAAAACAAAAAGGGTCTAACTTGTAATTTTGGTCTCCGTTTCTCCGTGAGCAGAAAAAAAAGAACTGATCATCAGCCCAAAATCAGTCTCACTTTTAAAAGCAGGCTCAGTGGGAACTTGTTGGCAGCTAAAAGTCTCTCTGCTCCGGACCCTCAGGGATCCTCCGATCATGGAGCGTGGTCTCTGGGGGTGGAGGTGGGGGTTCATATGCTACAAGGAGCAGAAGAATCCTGCCTTGATGGAAGTCATCTGCCCGTAGGGTTAGTGGAAGGCATAAAGCAGGAGGAGAATGGTGCAGACGCCTATCACAGAGCCAAGGACCAGGGAGTCCCTTCTCTTCCGCAGATTGATTCGCTGGATGAGATTGTTGATAGTTGGGAAACGATCTGAGATTCAGAATGTTAAGGAAGATCAGTGATGAATACCCGCTTTATCACAAATGCATAATTAAAACTTCTACCCTCCCTTCAAAACACTGGTTGTTAAAATGCAAGAGTAATTTTAGATGTAAAAATATTCTGCTTTGAAAAGTTACACTGAGTTGTTGTCCTGCACACACAGGGAAACCAGGGAGGAGTTTAAAGGATACTGGCCAGGGTGTTCACCCTGCTGTGGATGGATTTCAGCATGCCCCTCTGTGAGGTCATGTTCTCCTTGGTCGACATTGCAATGCTAAAGAAAGAGACAAAGATAAGTGAGCAAGAGCCAATACTGCAACCTCTTACTAAAGTGTCTTTTTACTGCATGCAAGTAGAAATATGAGTGGAAATTCAATACCAATCTCAAAACTGTGGATGTGGAAAACATTTTTGTTAGAAAAAAAGGTAATGAAGAGTTTTTATGATCTCCATTTTTTTGGGCATTATCCATTATCCTGATTTTCCATTTAGAACTACCATATCAAATATAACAGCATTCAAAATATTTTCCTCATTCTTTCTCTATGAGGAGTCCGTTTACTCAGGGGGAGGTCGGCACATTACCCTAACCGGATAAAATCCAAATCTAGATAAGTAATTTTTTTCTTAAAATAAGTGCATTTTTTCCTAGATTGAGGAGGTAAAAGAGACATTCTGCCAATGGGACGAGACAATTTACATTTAAAATATGAAAACACAATTGCATTGTCTTATTTGAAGTGCATATTATCCCATATTATCTCATTTACCTACCGTACTCAAATTAAGAGTAAGTGCACCTAATTTAAGAACCGTTTTCTTATTTCTAGATAGTTTTTTCAGTGCTGCACTTGAGTCATGAGGCAGAAATTTCAGCCATAAACAAAGTGTCTGTACAAGTTACCAAAAAAAGAAAAAAAAAAACATCTTAATTTTTGGTTTACTATTTCCATCAAAAATAAACCTTATTAGGCATTTATCAGTGGTTTAGGAAGCATCATTAGACTGGAATAAAGTTAAAATCATGTTTCTAAATCAATAATAAAACCTATTATAAATAGGTTTTATTATGATTATAAATGATTATTTTAAAAGGTAAACATTATTGAAGTTAAAGTTATGCAAATATAAGAAAGTTTCTATAGTCTAGATGAATATAGTACAAATGTGGTTTTTTTATATAATTATTTCTGATGAAAAAAAATGCGTTTGACAATATCCTCTACATTTTAGCCTAATAAATGAAATAAATATTTTATTCCTGTTTTGAATACTGACTGTACAGCAGCCATTGAATCTCAATTTTATGCTCTGTGATATCCTCAGCTCAATTTTTATTGAGCATTGCTTTATCAAAATTAAATCCAACTTCCAGCAATTTATCATTTCACTGCACACCTAAAAAAAACAAAAAAAAAAAGAAAAAAAAAAACGTTTTGGCCTCGAAGAATGCCAAACATTTTGCTCTGGCTTTTATTTCCATAATAACATAAATATAGGTAGGCTATCAGCTAAACACACGCCTGACGCCTTGATGTGGGCTTAGTGACACTACTTCCTTCGTGAAGCTTTTCAAACATTCAGGACCTAATATCAGCTTTGTCCATCTACTCTGTGTGTAGATCCTAAAGAATCGAAATGCTCAAGAAAAACGTCCAAAGTCCAAAAAGCTATCAACGTGACCTTTTCTGTTATCTGCTTCCCTTCACTTAATAACACAATACTTTAAGTTTACTATGTGACAGAGCTTTTGTACAGTGCTTTAGGTTGACATAGTGGGAAGGATCCAGATTTTGATTTTCCACCTGACCAGTCACTGGTGAGGACTGAAGAAGCAGGAACTCCTCTGATTTTGGTTTCCATAGTGGCCATGTTCTAGTACTAGTATGTTGCTCTGGCTCTTAAATCTCAAACATCAGCAAGTTTCAAAAGGACGAAAGTGCAACTGAGCAATTGGCAGGAAAAGTTTCTGCCAGTGTCTTTGGCATCTGTTACACACAGCAATCAATAAAAGACACCAAGCCCATCTCTGAATCGTTAACTAATGCTTTGGTGTTCAGGGAATTAGCTTCCACAAACAATATTTACAGTTTTATCCATCACCAACTGGTAATTAATTCAGATAAATATTGACCTGTCATGTAAATATTTTCATAACAATTTTGAAATGAGACTTTAATCATGATAAAAAAAATGTAGAAGATTAAAATTCCTTCACATATAAGAAAATGGCTCCACAGAGGACGAGCCCAAACAATGAAATCACTGCAGTTGTTTATATGAATCATTGTTGTGAAGAAAAAAGAAACAGTCTGCAGAAATGATTTAGTGTGTAGAAGGTGATACGTGTATGAGTACGGGTGGGCGAGGTCCTGGCCCCCCTCCTGTGACTGCAGAGTGCTGAGGGTACAGTCTGCAGCATTGGCCTAGAGATGTGTTTTAGGGATCATGTTCCCCTCAGTCAGAGGGAAACGCTTTGCTGACTCCAGCAACCTCCACCCAGCCCTAATCACTGTGCAAACCAGCGCCTGAGAGTCAGAGGCTGGGGAGAAGGAGACACTGCACACAATCTGTTAGGAGAGCAGATCTCTGCCTCAGTTTTCCTTCAGGCCAAAGAAAAGGAAGAAAACAGCTTTTTGTGTAACCACGGTCATAGATAGACATCTTTCTAGCTGTAAATTTTTATCTGCTATAAAGGTGTTTAAGCACTACTTCCAATAAAGAGGCCACATCTCACAAAAATTTAATTTTTCTTCTTATTGGAAAAATTAATAAGGGACTAGTGGTGGACATTTATAGTATCTTTTATCTTTGTCATGATAAGTTTCTAGTCATGAAAAGAAATTTGACATATCTACATGACACATTAAAACAATGATTAAAAAAATCCAGAAATTGAGTAAAACTTTTTACAGTTTTTGTTCTTTTTTTTTTTTTAAGAAAATAATCAAACGCTATTACTACAAGCTGTTTAATAATATATTTCTTGATGTAAGTGGTGTCGATAAGAACCTACATTTTAATGTGTTCAATGTGAGAGAATCATTTGTGATCATGGGGGTATGATGGAAGTGGTAAGCAGTCACAGGTATAGATTTACCTGAGAAAAACCGCAAAGAATTAATCTTTTTTTAATCATTACCTTTATCATTAATTAGACTCAAAAATGTGATAAGTTTGTATGTCCATATTGGCTATCTCTAAAATTGATCTAGTCTATTGCAGCTTTCAAACTGATCCTTTTAGCCACTGAGAGTTTGATCAAGTCCTCGTTTGTTACCCTATTTGTGACGAGCTTAATAGTTTATGGTTGCAGAGTACGCCTACAACCAAGGATGCTTTAGTTTGGTTTATTAATTAGCACCAGCATGAGTTATGACAGCGCAGCAGGGATTAATATAGCCTACGACGAGAGATCAGTTGAATAATATAGGAAACAAATGAATACTGAAAAAAAAAAAACGTGAAATGAAGCATGGAATCATGGGGGTCATGGGATTGAGCAGATGTCATGGTAATACTTTTGTTATGAGCGGGGACCAGTTAATGCCAAAAATAAATAAATATAGCTCATTTTCTGTACTCCCTGTAGCCTGTTGTCTGTGTCCCTTCGTTAAAGTTGCCCTACTGTGTTGCTGTTACAACAAAATGAAAAAACTCCGGTACAGTATGTTGGATTGATCTACAGGAAAGGATCCAGCCTTTGAGTCTCTATCTGAACCGTCACAGTCAATCCATAACCCAACATAAATATCAGAAGTATCTAACGTTTTACTTATTTACTCAAGTGTATTTCAAGAAAAGTGACTGTGTGAAAATACTGGCTGATATCAGTATCTGATTATTTTGCAGTTATGGACGATAACAGATATTTATAGACATGGCATCCTAAATCTTTTTGACACCAGGAAGATAACAACCGCTTCTCTGCTTTACATACACGCCCACAGTCCTTTGCTACATCACTATCACTGTCACATGACCAAACGAAGACCACATGACCAATCTACATTATGTTCCACCATATAAATGAGACTTTCTGCACACTAAATCCCATAAACAACATATGTTAACCAAGTATAATTAGTATACAAAGCTAAGACGGTAAGGCTTACCTTATTGTGTCATCCATCAGCCGGTCAGAGCTAAAGTTGGGAAGTAGAGCAAAGAACGTCACTGATTAGCAATAAACTAAATAATTTTAAAGCAAATAAAACTCAATAGTATAACAGTATAAACTGAGAACTTCACAATAAATAGTATAACTCTCAGTTTATTTCTCACCACTTCCCTCTTTATGAAAAATCTGAGTTAATGTAAAGAGAAGGTGAAGCAGTTAGTGGTGATATGACCCACAACTGATGAAGCTTTTCCATGCAGATGCAGAACAGGTGAAAAATTCTCTGTTTTCTTCCCTTAACCATCCTTTTATAGCCATTGTACTTTAGACTTTCTGTGGTTTTAGCTTTAAGTGATCTTCTTCCATTTTACCTCCCTAGTTGAGTTTTGCTGCAGTCATTAAAACTGCTCATTAGCTTCAAGCTAATTGCCTTTCCCAGCATGATGAACGAACCCACGCCAACCACATGCTTCCTTGTCTTTTTCTACACAAAAGCAAATGAGCCCAGAATTTAAAAAATAAAAGTCTGTTTCATGTTAGGCAAAGATTTTTTTTTTTTACAGGATCGTTTTTATATAATAATATTAGCAGGCAAACTAATCAATATAGACTTTACATTTACATTTCTTAAAACAAGTTCTTTATACTTCCCTATCTAATAAACAGGGCATGGAAAGCAGCAACTCTCTAAAAACGGTGAACCACAGTCAATGTAAGTACTTGTATGTTGTATATCAACCAAGCTTTGTTGTAAGACAAAGATCACATGAATTAACATATAACGGGCATTATCAAATAAACATTCTATCTTCGGGACACTGACCCATCTGTAAAAACGCAATTTCACTTCTTTTAAAATCAATAATAAAGTGAAAAAAAAAAACATTTTCTTGTTCAACTTTACAAGCTAAACCATGACCTGATTACTGCCTGGCCTGTAAAAGAAAATAAAAAACACGTACACATCTATGAGCTTTGAGATTCCAGCTAAAATGTGTCTCTTTAAGGACAAATAAAGAAAACAATTTATCCTTGGTGAATTTCAAAAGAAGAGTTTATCAAATTGACTTCAAGAATGTAGAAAACAGGCATTGCTTATCACCAGGCCAACACTATCCCTACAGTGAAGCATGGTGGTGGCAGCATCTTGCTATGTGGATGTTTTTCCAGCAACAGGAGATACAACAGACATGCAACAGCAACAGACTTGTCAGGATAAAGGGAATGATGAATACACCAATGAAAAGATATCATGGAGGAAAACATGCTCCAGGCCTCAAAGGAGGGGGAATAGGACCACTGTCACTATGAATGTTGTGGAGCCAGAATCCAGACTTTATTGATATCCCATCAATCAAGCAGAGTTTCTCCCATTCAATCTAATGGAGCTTGAGGAGTTTTGCAAAGAGGAAAGAGCCCCACTGGCTAAAGATAGTTTTGTTATGCCTGTGGCATCTTATTCAAAACTTGAATAACTTGAGGCTGGAATTACTGCCAAATGTGGATCAACCAAGTGTTAACCAAAGGTTGTCAAACATTTTTGTCAATAGTTTCTTATATCTATGTATTTTAATACATTTGCAATTATTTTTGCCTTGTCATAATTCAGCATTGTGTGGAAATAAATTAATCCAAAATGATATTAAAAAAAGGTTTTACCATAAATAAAGTAGGAAAAAGTGCGCTGGTATGAATCCTTTCCAGATGTACTGTAATCTTGCCACCCAAATGATTTCTTGTTCCCCCATTTAATGTAATTTTTAGCTATAATAAAGTGAAAAGACACGGTCTGGTTAAAAAAATGGTTTCTGGAGAATTGAATGGGACATGCAGTAGGTTTAGAAAAAAACACTATAACTCATAGTTGGATCTGTAAAAATGTGCTATGGTTAGCACTACAAAACATAGTTTATACTACAGAACAAATATTTTAAATATCCACAATTTGACCAAATCTAGATAACCTGAGACAAAGCAGTCATACTAACAATGACACAGCTTCATATTGAAAACAAACAACAGACACTGAATTTGGGGTTTTCCACAGCTTCCAAATTGAAAGGATTCCAGTATTTCACTCTATGTGCAATAGGGATGGGACGATTTATGAAAACCGTCCGAACCGTTCGGTTCGATTCGCGCGTGTTTCGTTCGGTTCATGCGCTGCTCCTTTTTCTCATAGGCGAAGCGTGTACACGTGGCAGTAATGCGACCAAAGCCAACCACCAGTAGTAAAAAAGAAGAAGCGAAGCAGCGTAGCAGAAAAAAAATCAGTTGTTGTGGAGAATTGTGTGGGCATGGCGAGTGGGAAAGAACAGGAGTTGGAAGACGCGCCAGCAGCACTTTATAGGTCTGCTGTATGGGACCACTTTGCATTTAGAGTGACCTACGATGACGGCGGAAAGAAAGCTGGGGATAAAAGTGCAACAGTGTGCAAGCATTGTGCAACACGTTTTGTTTATGCCAACAGCAACACGACCAACATGTCAGGCTAACAATCAACATATACCGAACCGAACCCCGTGACCACGAAACCGTGAACCGAACCAAACCGTGGATTTTGTGAACAGTTCCACCCCTAATGCATTGATGACTGAAACACATCTTCTACCTCCATTCATCTGTTTATTACAGTGTGTTGATTTTGTGTTTGGTTGTATTTAAAGACATTTCAATTATTGGAAAAAATTGCAGCGGGAAATATAAAATAAAAGTCTAATCAACCAAAATTTTCGCGACCCTCATGCAGTACCTCCAAGGACCCCCTAGGAGTCACGGAAACCCTGTTGAAGACCTCTGGTCTAGAGTGTTTACTTAAATTGAAATACTGTATTAGTTTTACACCGCATCCCATTCTTCACAGCATAGAATACTTTTCAGAAAGTCATAGGGTCCTCAATGGTTTTTTTTTTTAAGTATTTGTGACAAGCCTTTGTGTTCAGCAGTGGTTTAGGCCTTAGGATACAACTTCTAACCAGTCTATTGATGTAAAAACAATGACAAAGGATGGTCTACAGTACATATAGATAATGACATAATGTTCTAGCTTTTGTTTTTTTTAGTGGTTCAGAGTCCTGAAACTTTAACAATGGCTTAATAACCCTTTTAAAGATTTTGAGTTTCTTATCTGATCTTGAATGTCTTAAGAGCAGGAGGTTTGTTAAATCTGAAGTTTTTTTTTGTTTTTTTTTTAATCCTACTTTATATCGTAAGTCTAGTTTTACTTTATTGATTTCTTGTTTACAGGTCAGGCAGTAATCAGGCCTGGGTGTGGCTTATAAAACGGAACTTCACTTTTTTCATGTTAACTCACAGGTAATTCATGATTTAACGAGTAAAAACATCAAGAAAATTCAAAAGATTGACAACTAATGGCATAATCTTCACCATCTTTTAATGTTTGATCTTCTGCCATGAAATGAAGGACAAAACAGTAACTTTCATGTAAATTACACTCAGTGTTCACTGGAAAGCTACTGAAACCCAAACAAACTCTGTAAGTCTAATTCTGCTAAGCTTTATACTGCTGAGAAATAAATGGGGGAGAAATAATCCATTTCAAAGGAAGTTCCTCTGATTGACTATGACCATTAGGGAGGTGCTGTCCTAAGAACTTTTAATGGACCGATGTCTTCTTCCATCTGGTTTATTCATAAAGACTAACCACACACACATGGAGAAAAAGAGAACACTAAAGAAAAACACAGAGGAAAAATATGAGAAGCCATTTACATTACCCCTAATAACTAAGAGAGCAAGAGGCATTTAATAACTCTACTGCATTATTTCCATCAGGAATTAGCAATTTTACAAAAGATTGGAGAGGACGTCTTCATACTAGTCATTCAATTTTACCTCCCTTGTTTCCATCCAAAATAAATACTATAAAATAATTTACAGGGATATAGACTAATGTTGAGTCCTGGTTGCACAATCCTGTTTTCCCTTGGTGGAATAACATCATAGTTGCAACGTAATCACACCTACTGCTGTTTCACAAGATCTAATAACAATCTGGTGAACATTAAACTCTTTAATTGAACCACAATTCTTCAAGAAGTTTGTGAAAAACAGTTGGTGCTAAATCTGATTTATTGAGCTGAAATCTAAACTTAAAGCATCTCCAAATAAATATTAAAAAAAGATTAACAGACAAAATGAACACAAAATTAAAAGTAGAATGTTACAGGGGTGTCTAACTGATCAAACTAAACATTTGAGGATTCAGTGTCTTTCGGACTATCCTCCATCACAGTCATATGACCCTCAGATGCTCAATTCCAACAGTTTGGCCTTCTTGCTCTAGCCTTTATTGAACTGGCTTGTCACACACCGTCTAGAATTAAAGTCTTGGTCGATTTCAACTGATTTTTTCATGTCCGAATGATTAATGCTCTAGTATTTGATTTGGTCTTCTAGTGTACAGAGATACAAAATATTCACATATGTTAATGTAATATAGCTTTATCTCTAAACTGGACTAACAACAACATTCTGCTAAGTTCTCTTTATTCCTCCCCATACACACACATATATACCGTATATATATATATATATATATATATATGCATACACCAAACCTAAGGCTTAGAGGATTCGTGATTTAGTCATTTTTATAATACATGACTGTAGACTACAATAGCTCAGCTGCCTCGGTCTATTAATAATCTGTACTCTGCCTTTGAAAACTCCTAATACTTAATCTAAGTTTTTTTTTTTTTCTCCAGTTGAATGTTTTCCTCCCATACAACATCCATAGAGGCTTAAATGTAAAACTTCACAATCAATATCTTAATGAGTCTGATGGGTTAACAAGAAAGGCTAAGTGCTGAGAATATGGAATGTGTTTAGAACTAAACAGGCTTAATGTCCTAATGCGTTATGATTTTCTCACTGCTAAATATAGCAATATTCCATTTTGGGTTTTAGATATCCATTTAACTTATATTGAATATTCTTAGGTAATTATATTTATTATAATTTATATAAACAACTTAAATTTGTTAATTATTATAGCATCAACATACAACAGTTAATACAGATTATTAAAATATAGAGAAGTGGGGGGGCAGTGGGATCATGAATAATTAGAATATTGGAATTTATTATTATTCCACCTATTGAAGAGGAACCAGTACACAATACAGATTATTTACATGGAAAATAATAAAATATTTTAGGCATGCTTTCCTGTACCAATAACATGGGAATTTAAAGAAATATTTTTTTTTTAAACAGGAAGTGAAACTTATATTTATTCATTTTTATCAGCTATGTTGTGAAAAGTAGTGGGTCGCTTCCATGGGTGAATGTGTAGTTTGGTGTGGAGAGAGGAAAGTCCTGACCTCCATCTTATAGAATCTTACAGAACGTGTGAAAGATGTTTACAGTAGAGTTAAAGTTGCTGTTGATTAAAGGATTGGTCCATCAACAGATTGGAGCCAATAGATTAAGAAAAGGATGTTTATTTTAGGTCTGTCATTCAGTGTCTCAGAAAATCTGAAGGTCACATAAGATCAGCTGGGGGGGAAAAAAAGGGAATTTAACAGCATAATCCAGATTCTGAATAGAATGTTCATTTGAACTTAATACGTGGTTGGGTCTCATTTTGCATCAGTCTGTGGCTGATGGTTGTAATGGAAAAACAGGTTATTTTAATAAAGGATATGGGTTAACCGCTTTGCTGTAATAATATTCCATAGATTCTCTGTAGGGTTCAGGTCAGGCCAGTTTGCTGGCCAATCAGGAACAGTAACACCATTTTCAATTAGCATTAGAGTAATGGTGGTACAAATTGGTGTTTTAAAACATTCAAATTTTCTGACAAACAAAATTTAGAGATTTTCGTAAGATGAATTTCTTAAATCTCTAAACTAACAGAAACAAACGCCTGAATCACGATAAGATAATATAGACTTTATTGGTCTCACAGTGGAGATATTCTCTTGTCACATCAGGTAAACAGTCAAAAGAAGGTGCCAAAAGGAGGAAAAGGTGCACGGGGTATATACAGAATATAAAGTGCATCCGTATATATATATATAAAACAACTGAAGTCACTTATATAACAGGATTATTGCACAGGGTATTAAATATAAATGGTTATTGCACAGGGTATGGAATGGTGATTGCACAAGTTATTGCAGTTATCGTGTCACATTGTAAAGTCTGATGGCAGCAGGGATAAAAGCAGGAATGAAATTACAAACAAGTCTTTTACTATAGGCGCTTCTCAGCTCCTTTACAGTTTGATGCAGGGTGTAAGAGGTGTTGTCCATAATGGATGTGTTGTGAAATTATGCTGTGTGTAACCAATAAATAAAATAAAATAAAAAAAACGCATCAGTTTTTAATTTGATTGCTAAAAAATATTTCATTTTTAATGATATTCTAAATTTGCTAAGATCAAGCAATATTTTTCCTTTCAGTGTAAAAGTTACCATTTTTTAAATTGAACTTCATTCTCTACTTGAAATACTAAACTAGTATCTAGGAACATCAACAATAACAAAAAGGTTAATAAAAAAATAACTGAAGAAATACAACAAATCTATGACTGATAGTACTTATTTTAGGGCTGTTTTTATCCTTCCATGTGTATGGGAGGTTTACTTTAAGTTTGTAAAAACCTGGAGGAGTATGATTATTTAAATCAGGAAAACAGAGTTCCGAACACAGATTTACAGATGAAGTATTTTCAAATAAAAGAAAAACTTTTTAAAAACTGAATGCAGTTTTCTTTAATGACTAAAACCAAGAAAAAAGGACAGAAAAAAAATCCAAGTTAATTAAAAATCTTAGATGGGCAAAAGTTGGTTTTTGTTTATATGCTTTTGGTTGAACCCATGAGCACTGCAACATGCGCCCTGCTGATATTCAATTTTCCTTTCCACACAGGACACTTCTCACACCTCTCAAACTCAGAGACAGATTTCACAAAGCACATGCCGTCGACAGTTCTATGTAGTCTGCCAAATATTAGTAGGCAAACAGCAGTTTAAGAAGTTATTTCACCTTCACCAGAACATGAAATATTATTAAGTATGATCTTAGCTGTCATCCCAGGAAAACCACTTGCTAGTCATACTGTAAAACCACCCCCACTCCCCCCCATTATTCAAATCATATATCTGTAATCTCACATCTCTAATCCAGTTGAACTCCAACTCTCCTATGATAGTAAGGCGACTCATTTTCACTGCGAATTTTACATGTTTTATATTTTATATTTGTCAAATATAACTTTACAAACTTTACAGTTCTTTTAGGGCAGGTTAGCCTCTTATAAACTAGACTGAGCAGAGAAAAATGAGATTGTGGTCCAGTTTCCACAGGGCAAAGTCTTACTTAATAGACAGACGAGTCCTTTGCATAAACAACTTCTAATTTTTGTTTTCTTTGGTACAGCAGTTGACAAAAAGTTGGAATGTTGGCTATGTACCAGAGAGTGGGCCCTGATTAAAATTACCAGCCATTGCCACAAATGCATTGGGCTGATGAGTCTATTACATGTGCCCGATGACACCATCAGCTGTTTACAAGCACCCCCGCCCCACCTTCCTTGAGTTTTCCAGTCTTCTTTAGATCTCCGTCTGCTCATATGGTCAGAAAGTCTGCCAGATAGACAATGGACTCTGGAACAGGATCCCAGACTCTCAGGGGAGTGGAAGCCTAGCTGTTGGGGCATAAAGCTTGACATCCTGAGGTTGTGAGTTTGAGCCCCACTCTGGGTCTGTAATCAACACCCATAACCCCTGATTGCTCCCCAGGCACCCAAAAAATTTTTTAATCCTTCAGCTAAGATTAAAAAAAAAAAAAGATAAAAGCGCATTGCAGGTTTTATGGCTGGGTCCCCACTCTGACTTGGAATTCTAACTCACATTGCCCATATTGAGTGATGGAAGAGACGGCTTGAATTTCCTGCTCCTCTCTCTTCTACTAGCTCAATCTCTGAATTCTCAGCACATACTTTTCAACTCAGCTGGTACTGGTTAGAGCAGACTATTATTTCAGATAATGTAAAAAAAAAAAAAGAAAAATGTTATGATAACACCTTATAACAATTGTCCAAAAAGGAAAAAATACAATAAAAATGCTTCCAGTTAAAAAGCATCCAACACCAAAGGCAAAACACATTGGCCAAACAGGAAGGGTAAAATGCTTCTCCAAAAATAAACCCTGGAGAAAATCTGAGAAGAACCGCTAAACATGAAAAAAAATCCTTCAAGAAAGAGACTTAGGAAATTATTGAGTATAGAGAAGCAACTTAAGGTCAAGATAAGAGAAGGCATGGAGGCATAGAAGACGACAATGGAAAATAAGCTCTGATCACAGAGGAACAGAAGTTCTTAAAAAATAAAAATACATTAGTATGAAGATAGCAAAACTACTCCAACGTGCAGCAGCGCTATTCTATTATGAATATGGATAAGTTGTTTGAAATACTTCTGTATCGCCTGAAACTAATTTCTCGTTTTCTTCGCATTCAAGGCAATATGGTTATTTCTACATTATACAACAAAGGGCTTCATCAGCTCTTTGTGTTCAACTTGTAAGTCTTTGATACGGAAACAGCTGCAGGAGTTTCTGGTGCATTTAATATCAGCAGCATCAGCAGAGATGAACATTGAGATTAAATATTGAAGCAACGTATCAAGATGACAGCTACAAAGTTCAAACTTGGGCACAAAATGTCTCGATGACAACAAGGTATTTATTTATTTATTTTTTTGATCAGCCATAAAAAATCTGTGTTTTTAATCCATGAAAATGTTTTTGGGAAGCTCTGTTAAGGTGTAGAACGGGCTGCTGCAAAAACAGACATAATTACAGCAGTTTTGTCCAGAGAAATGGGCAAAGTCTCCAGCTAATATTCCATCTCACACATTTAGGACATTTCTGCAACTTCAGAACTTCAGGTAAAAAAACAAAATAAAAAAATTAAGTTAAAAAACTTAAAGGAAACATTTAGCATTGTTTTATATCAACCATGGAGAAAAAGAAGGTTTTGTGTTGTTATGGTCAGTTTTATATTTGTTCTAAACTTCCCAAGATCAGTTTAAATATTACTGAGATGCACTTACTTTCTGAGATGCTCATGCTCCTTTAGAAACAGCTCTGTTCTTCTGTTGTTGACTCCTGAACCACTCTTATATGTTCTAAAATGACACAAGTAGTAATAAAAAACATTGATTGGAACAAATTTTGTATTTATACATTGTGCCATGATATTTATATATAGTGCACTCGTGCAAGTAATATTTAAGTGTCTAAGATTCCAAAAAAAATCCAAAATAAAGATTTAACTTCTCATTCAGATCAGTAAATTCCTCAGTAAAGCTTTAATAGGTAAAGTATATGAAATATACATCATGCAATGACGTGAAACTGGAGAATTTGAGGCTCAGACAATTGAAGGTTTTTATTATTAAAAAAAATAAGACATCCTGATATAATATCCTCTGTCAGAAACTATGAGCTTGCAAAATGTCATAAAAAACTGAAGGCAGTAATAAGGAAGCAGAAACAATAAACTGTCCCTAAGTATTAAGCTTTACGTGACCAAACCAGGTGCATAAATGCATTAAACCCATTCTCTTGAGCCTGAAGCAGCTCTAGCTTACAGCGTCTCTAAACAGTTGAATACCCCACACTCTCTGTGTTTCTGTCCATTTAACACAACCCCACCTCCCTGTTGGGAGAGAATAAGAGAAAGTGCACAAAGGGATGGAGGGAGACACATACCATCAACATCCTACCCCACCCATATAACAGCGAGAAGACCAAGAATAAATTAGCTTTCTTTATTACAAGCACATTTTTAAAAGCCAGTGGCAAAGAAAAAAACATATCTGTAGTGTCTTAAGTGTTGCCTTGAGATACCCTATCAGTAGGGCTTATGATTTTGCAGGGTCAGAACTGCCTGCACTGACAGGTTCCTTCATCTCTCTGGCAAGGCTTTTTAAAAGGCCAGCGATGTAAATCACAGATGAGTTGTCATTTTCCGCCGATGACATTTCGACTCAGAGCAGCAGCAGAGGAAATGTTACGACACTCAGCTCACACAACTGCTGCCGCTATTTTCAACACACAGCTGTACAATGTGAGATTTAGTCTGTGAATTTAACGAGGACAATTGTTGAGCAAACACTGTTTTATGGCCAAATGTGATTTTCTGGAAAGAATTGCACTATAATCATTTTTTATTGATGAATTGCACAATATAATTTTTTTCTATTTGCATAAATTCCATATTCAGTCATTATTCTTATGTTTCTGCAGCATAAACAATTCTGATCAAACCTAATACAACACCAAGATCTTTACTGCCCCCTACAGACAAGTTTAAACACTGTAGATCTTCTTTCTTAATAAAAAACGAACTATGCCTTTGGTCTGACTTATATACCAAACTCACTGTTAAAATATTTACACTATAGATAATGTAGTGTCAATAGGTTTAGTTTGCTAAAAACCCTTTTAAAAAGGAATCTAATTTTCTAACACCCTAAAAACATGTTTTGAAGTTGTTTTTATAGTGCAACATATGAAAAGAATAAAGTTTATAGTATTTTTTTTTATTTCCTACATAACTTTATTTGCCCTAAACTAAATGGAAAAAAAAAAACAGCGCTTGCTTTTTTTGTCCATTTATGTTTTTTTACATAAATAAACATACACAATTACTTGATTTGAAATATCACAATGAAATAAGCATCTCATTTCTGAAGTTTTTAGCTTCTTTTAAGCCTTACCAGCTAGTTGAGGTGGAACATAATTTTTCTTAATTACTGAACAGATAAAAAAAATAATAAAAAATAAGAAAAGAAATGTGTCAAAACAAAACACTACACTCTTTATTCCAGAGTCCTATGTTGTGGGACTTCTCGTATGTAAAGGTGCTTTTACTTTTTTTTTAAGTTAATAAGACTTAAAAAAAAGTTACAGCTGTTTACCATTTCATGTTTTATTAAGATGAGATTAAAATGCAAAAATATTTTCAGAGAGCCAACTGCCCAAGCATTTAACTAAGAGACTCTATAGCAGCTGTCAACACTACTGGAAATCTAATGTTTGCAATTTATGTTGTACAAAAAGGCTAATCTAGCTAGAAAGAAAAAATTTACAACCAGCAAAATCAATTATTCTTAAATAAGTGAATTTCAAGAATAGATCATGGCAAGCATTTGCATACCCCAATCTGTTTCAACCACTTTAAATATAACAGTTGGTGTCCTAATGGTTTATCCTAGATGAGTGCCTGTATAAAACCTCCCAGATGTCTTGATCTTAAATGGAGTGGGATAATTAAAAATCCTGCAGTGCTCACTTTGACTTTAATGCTGCATCTCACAAATCAATATACCATTACCAAAAAAAAAGCAGTAAGATTTACAGCCTGTAGGTTATTCCAAATTGTTTTAGTGTTCTCTCCCAGAAATTAGCCAATATGAAGAAAGGGTACACAATCTAAACGCAATGCTGAGGAGGCTATGAATCTTAAAAGGCATCGATGCTAAACTAAAGAGTCTGGGTTTATCTTCCTATACATTAAATAAACAAAAATATTGGACGAATTTTTCTCTCCATCGTTCACCCAGGTACAAACACAAGCACATTAAAGCATGTGATGAAAGAGACCCCAGGCAGAATAGCTCCTGTATCCAATCAGGAGCTAATGAGGCTCTCAATGATATAGAATCAAATCTTACCACTTATAATTGCACCTACCATGGCTGCTAGGCCAAATTTAAGCAAAACTAAAAACAAAGATTGTGTTCTTACTCAATGTCTTTCCTGACAGATCCTAAAAGGTCCTCTCTTTCCCGGATGGCCAGAAAGTTGCCTTTGGTTTTGTGGAATTCATGTGTGTAATCCTAAACAACAAAAAGGAAAAAACAAAGTAAAAAAAAAA